ATACAAAAATTTTTTAAAAAATGTATAGTGTTGTTATGTGGCTTATATTACCTCATAATTGTTTAGGCCCAGTGATTTCATTTCTCATCTTGATTTTGTCTTAAGAAAACAAGTTACAGAAAATTATTAATTATTTTTAGGGGGAAAATTCACTCAGTTGAAATTTTTAGAAATGGTCATTATGAGTCAGACCAATTGCTACTTATCCAAGCTATGAATGTGTGTGCAGGTACAAATAACTCAATAATTAACAGTAGTTTAATGTTGGAATACAAACAATGTTGGTATTTAAAAATTATATAACCTGATGTCCAGAAAAATACAAGAAGTTGTTGAAATAGCCAGAGAATTGTGAAATTTATGAATGGGACTTTTGCCATTAAGGACTTCAGAGGGTAAAAGCATAAATATACTGGTTCTTTTGATGTTTTTTCCTTAATTAAACGTATTTTTTTAAATAGTTGCCTCTTATCTCAAGATAGATTATCTTATGCAATGAGCATTTTTGACACCCTTAGAGATTAAATGAACTATTGGAAGATAAGGGATGAGTTTTCTTGGAAGAGTGAGAGAAGATAAGATTGTTAGAAGATATGTGGGTAAACATGGGCGGATTAGTTAAGGGCTAAGCTTTAATGTGAAACAGAAACTCTGGACACTGGCCTTTGCATTGGTCTTACTGAAGACACAGTTGGGCTTTTTCCATAGTGGGATGGACTGAGATGGAACATTGGGGACCCAGGAGGGGAACTCCTTTGATTTTGCATCACGAATAAACCCTGCTACACCACAGTCTCCCATACATGCATCCCTGAAATGCTTTTTCTGCAATCCCAGCACCATTATGCACTGTTGATGAGACTGTAAAATGGAACAGCTATTATGAAAAACAGTGTGAAGGTTTCTCAAAAAAATAAAAATAGAATTATCACATGATCTAGCAATTCCACTTTGGGATATATATATATATATATATATATATATATATATATATATAATCTGTAGAGTTTATCCAAAATAATTGAAACTAGAGTCTTAAAGGGATCTTTGTATACCTATATTCATAGCAGCATTATTCACAGTAGCCCAAAGGTGGAAACAACCAAAATGCCCATTGACAGATGAATGGATAAACAAAACAGGACATACATGTACAATGGTATATATTATTCAGCCCTGAAAAGCAAGGAAATTCTGACATGTGTCACAACATAGATAATCCTTGAGAGCATTATGCTAAGTGAAATAAGCCAATCACAAAAAGACAAATAGTATGATTCTACTTAGAAAATAAAAAGTTCTCATTCTAGTTTCCTATAAACAGATTTATTAAAAACTATATATTATAATCAGATTACTTTTATTCATTCACAGATGTCCTTTCATTGTGACTTGAAAATTATAAAATGCGTAGAAAAATATCATATAATATTGTAGAAATGAATCTAAAAATTGTTCATACAAAAGAAATGCAAAATATTTTTAATAAAAGCCATCTCCACCATCCCCAGTAACTCCCTTGCATGAGAGTCTAATTTGCTAATTAGACTGATGATACCTGTCTTCACTGTACATTTTGGGTAATTAGATGTTACAACTGAACTACTAAGAGAGAATGGACCCCTCAAAAGGGCAGGCAGTTAGGTCATTATTCTGAGTCGAAACAACCAAATTATTATTACCAGGAAGTTCAAACTAGAGGAATTGGTCTGAACATTTAGTGTGCTCAATTTGGGGTCAAACCCCTTGTGTTTAGCAAGTTCACACCATACAATTCTATTAGTATATTAAAATAGGCTTTGGTAAAAGGAAAATACACACAATCAAAAAGTTTACATAGAGGGAAAGGAACATGTGGAGATAGTCCCCACTGAGTTCCAGAGACTTTCCCAAGAAACTAAAAAGTGTGGAAGTCTAAATCCAAAGTTGGGACAACCACTCCCAGGTGACCTAGAGCCCTTTGATTCTCACTGTAGGACACCTGGAAAGCGACTATCATCTAGAGCAGCAGTTCTCAACCTGTGGGTCTCGACCCCTTTGGGGGTCGAACGACCCTTTCACAGGGGTTGCCTAAGACCATCGGAAAACACATATATAATTACATATTGTTTTTGTGATTAATCACTATGCTTTAATTATGTTCAATTTGTAACAATGAAATACATCCTGCATATCAGATATTTACATTATGATTCATAACAGTAGCAAAATTACAGTTATGAAGTAGCAACGAGAATAATTTTATGGTTGGGTCACCACAACATGAGGAACTGTATTAAAGGGTTAGGAAGGTTGAGAACCACTGATCTAGAGCCACTTCCTCTTCCTTTCCCCCATTTCCCCCATGGAAGGTCCATTAGTCATTAAGGGTCAGGAAGAAAGAAGCAATGTTCCTGTACCACCGAGATGATACTCATAGAAAAACAATGAGGCCCTGGCCAGGAAGCTCAGTTAGTTAGAGTGTCATTCCAATGCCCAAAGGTGGCGGGTTTGAGCCCCAGTCAGGGCACATACAAGAATCAACCAATGAATGAATACAGAAGTGGAACAACAAAATCAATCTCTCAAAATCAATCTCTCTCTGTCTCTCTCTCTCCCCCTCCCCCCAATCAATAAATAAATTTAAATAAAAGAACATGAGGCTTACAGAAAGAACTACTTTAATGCACTCAACAAATGTTCATGATCTATTTCCAGTCCCCAATGACTGTGGGGACACTGTTTTCAGGAGACAATACATTCTGTGATCCAAACAACTGACAGACAAATAAAGCTATAGGATGACACTTGTACCACTAATCCTGTACAGTGGTGATACAGAAGGATTTCAGTGCCTGAATAAATTACAGTAATGAGATTATAAAGGTTTCTTAAACACTTATGACTGTGGGAAGTCCTGGCAGAACCCAGTGCGTACAAGACTGGCACACATAGAGCTCTTGACCACTTACCACTCAGTCACTGGCTTTGATTGACCAACTGGATGGCGAGTCTCTGCTTTATTTCCCTAACAAGATAGTCAAGCTGCAGTGTTATTCACAGGTGGCGCTGGGTTGCATAGACCTTTGGAATCTTTCTTTGCAGCTTACCCAGAGGGAAAGCAGGGAGAAGGAAGCAAAGGGGCAGGAGTAGGCCCTCTGCTCAGCACACGTTTCAAAGCAGAGAGAGAGAAGGTGGGGCCTACCTGTTGGTTGAAATATGGCAATATTACTATAAAGCCATATGTGTTTGTTTATTGATGGTCAAAACCTTTTTTTTTTTAAAGAAATAGAAGCTGATGGTTACCAAAATTTCACCAAAAAAATAGAAAAATCATTATTTTTCATTTCTCAGGCTCAGTATTCTCAAAGGCACTTCCGATGCTAGAAATGCTACTTTTCTTCTTAAGTACAAGTGACTTACTGAGGTCTCCACTTAGTGACTTAATAAATGTTTGTTGAATGAGTACTGTCAGTTATTTAACCAAAGCTTGATGCTCCACCACACTCTAAGAGGGAATGAAAAACACCAATATTCTCTATATTTTGTAGGTGAGGAAATTCAGGCTCAGAGTCTGCATGACTACTCATATTTCACTGTCACAGACCTCCCTCCCCCTCTCCCAACCACCCAGGTCTGTTCTGACTTCAAATCCTGTCACCTTTGCTTTTTGTAATCTGATCTCCATATCTTTGTTCATTACAGGAAAGATGAAATAGAGAGAAACATATTTTGGGCTAAAACACTCTTGTAAAAGGTTCCACTACTGTTCTTTTATAGTAAAAATGAAAAAGCTAAATATTTTTTTTCACTTGACCCATTTGTAAAACATAGTTTATAGGGCAGTCAAAAAAAATGGAAATGGGTTTTTAAAAAAACTCTACTACATTAATACTAAAAGGAAGCAATAAAAATAAAAATAAACCCTTAGGTACAGAGAAACTCCAATGCAGAGTACTTCTGACATCTGTTAAACTGAGTAGTAGGGAAGGGATCATACATCCCTACATGAATCCCTGTTGCTACAAATCATAGGGAGACTTAGTAATAATATGCTTTTGATTGCAGACATGCAGAGAAAGTTTGCAAGTGAAAACTAAAGAAGATACTGCACTAAGATTCTGTTTCAGGGAACATTAGACTATACTTTTCAGGAACTCCAATGAAGCCCTCCTAATGGCTTAGAAATGGGAAGGTGAATGCAGAGGCTGTCAACTATATGAGTTCATATCCCACAAAAAGCCACCAAATGCACTTACTTGGCACAAAAAGAACTGAGAGATTGATGCATTTTATCACAGCCAGTGGGAAATGTTTTATTCTATAAATAAGTTATCAGAGACGATTTTGTTTTTAATCAGGCAAAACAAAACAAAACAAAAACCAACCTTTCCAAATTTTTGTTTTCTAATCTTAAATAGCTAAGTTAAAAATCACTGCCATTGATAGCATCTGCTCTTCTTCACAGAAAGTCAGCACTTTTTCACTTCAAATCAGAAGCCAGATGCTGGTCTTGCTTACCAGTTTGCTATTACCTTGAGGGGAGAGGGGACAAAGCTGTTAGGGTCTTGTTAATTCAAGAGATATATTTCCTTTTTGTTGTCTTACATGCATTATTTTCAACACAGAGAATACTAGGCAACGAGCCCATAAGCTGCAATGTTCATCTGATTTTACTCAGTAGGAGGGGTTGGGGGTGCCATGCCCTTCTGGGCAGGTGCAGGCCAGGAGTGAGCTGCTGGGCCTCTGTGAGTGAGCTGCATAGGAGCGCTGTGGTGTGTCCCTGTCTGCTACCGTGTCCAAACCGAGGGCAGGGTGTGCAGTTTATGAAGCACTTTAAAGTGTAAAGTATGAAACCTTCTCAGCATAAAATCTTAGCATTCCCCCTCCAGATGAGGAGAGGAGAGAAATGGACGCAAGCTTTGATTCCTCACTCACATGCCCTCCATGCACAGACACCTGCAATGCGGCTGCAACTGACGTTCTGTGTCCTCTCTGTGCATTCCCCACTTCCTCCCTAGAACACCTGAAGGAGAAGTTAGAGGAGTACATGGCCCGGTTTTCCAAAGTGAGGATCGTTCGCACCAAGAAAAGGGAAGGGCTCATCCGGACCCGCCTCCTGGGGGCGTCCATGGCCAGAGGAGAAGTCCTGACCTTCCTGGACTCCCACTGCGAGGTCAACGTGAACTGGCTGCCCCCGCTCCTGAGTGAGTACACAGCTGATGGGGCCTCCGGGCATCTTTCAGAAAGAGTGCGGGTTTTTTTCCACTTAGTTTGCAACCTACAAAGGCTAAAGACCCCCCTCCTGCAGTTTTTACAGTGGGAGCCTTGAATTCTACCTTAACCCCTGCTGAGGACAAATGGGTAACTAGAAAACCGCATTAAAATTGCCATTTTGGAGAATGTGTCATCTGTAATCTATCATATGGTTTGAAAGGGTTTCACTTATCTTAGACATGCTCTTGGATTGTAGTTGTGTTCGCTGGGTAAATGCTAAAAGAAAAAAGTATTCAAAAATGCTGTCTATGACAACAGTACGATTAAAATTCACACACATACCTCGCCTACACATGCACAGTTTAACAATTATTACAGGATTATTAAGAGATGAGGAAAGAAAATTATTCAGTCCCTGAATGCAGTTGAATTGTAAGCTCCCTGGCATTGTCTAGGGTTTATAATGCCAGTTCTTTTCACTTTGGCACTAACCTAGATCCCTAAATAGAGAATCCCCCATATTTAAGCAGAACCTACTGCTCCTAATATGATTACGAGGAGAGAAAAGACTCTCTGTGACATTGCACTCAAAAGGTTAGAAACTGGAAGCCATTCAAGTTCAAGGTAGAAAACCAATGTGTGGCTCAGTGTGAGCTTGACTATTTTTTTTTAATGTCACAATGAAGTCAGATATAAAATCTAGTAGTGGATAAGGGACACATTGTAAGCTTGAAAAAAAAAGTGTGTTTCTAAAAGTTCCTGCTGGGCGCATATTGTACTCCTTCCTATTGTTCAAGATTTCACTAATTCAATTTTTACTGTGAATAATCTCTGGCTTTGGAGCTAAAGCCAGTAACAACTGCCTTCACAATAGCTGCCTCAGAGGGAATGATTTGCTATTGGCTACTGTGTAGGATTTCAGCTAGAACCAGCAAAGAGCCATTAGTAAAAGACAAGGGGGAGGGGGCGGGGATCGATCGATCTATATAGGATTAAGAGCAGAAAAGGTCCATCAACTAACAAACACCCAACCACATTGCCCAATCCACGCACCCCTGCACAGGTGACTGCCCAGCCATCCTAATCAACAGGAATGTTTCAGTGCTCCTGCAGCCACAGACTCCTCTGAGCTTTTAATTAAAAATACCTTGTCCAAGGACATAGCAATTTAGAGTTTCATCAGCAACAGTGAGATTCCCTCAAACGGAATTTGATCTATATGGTGTGGAATACCCAGGGAAGTCAGCAAAAGGCCTAATTTATTTATGAACCACAGCACTCCCTAAATGCCAATTATCAAGCCTCTGAATGTTCATATGAATCTAACAAGAAAGAAAATAGATGGAAAAAAGAGAGAGAAAAAAGAGAAACCCACTTTTTCTCATTAAAGCATTTCATTTCCTGTAGGCCTGATGGATAAGAAATGATTCAAGCTCAGGATCACTATCTTTTTTTATTTTCCTTTATCAGTGTCTTGACACATCATCCAAAATGAAAAAACAGGCGGAGTCACACGGATTCTTGGCTCATTTTTCACCTTGGGATTATACCTGAATTTCAATTTCCCATTAAGAGTCTGTTTTGTTTGATCCCTGGAAATTGAAATGTAGGCATAAGTCTTAGATGAAAAATTAGTCATGCTGCTTTCACTCTAAGCGAGGATGGCTGGATGAGAGCTGAAAGGAAATTTGAAGGGAGAGTTGACAGTTAATTTAACAGAGTCATTCTCTTTGGGTCACCTTGGGACTCCTTGTTGGTCAAGGAACTTGTAAATCAGCCAGATGCTGAATTTGATTGAAGAAAGCCACTGAAACCTTCACACAAAAATACCTGCAGGGGTGATAGGAAAAATATGTTGGACCCAGTGATGACAGTCTCCTCTGTCAAAGACATCTATGGGGAAACACCATTTAGATAGAGATTAAAATCCATTATGAGGCTTGCCCAGGTGAAAATGGGTGCTTATAGAGCCCTTCGTGGAGATTAACTTGATATTAGTGCTAGGGGCCTCTCTGTCATCTAATTAGCTAAAAATAAAAATAAGAACTCCAGGCTCACGGAGACCAACATTCCACATTCCCCTTACCCTGTTTTTTTTTTCTTTCCATCACATTTATCACCTTCTAACATACAATATAAGTTAGTTAGTTATTATGTATGTTGATTTCTTTATTCCATTCCTGAAGACATGGGTTTTTGAGATTGTTATTCACTGCTATCTTCCAAAATCCTAGAAGAGTGACTGGCACAAAATTTCTATTCAGTCAGTAGTTGTTGAACTTGAGTGAATAAACAAACAAACGAGTGAATGAAAACGCATGTAGATCTGGACGGGAGATCTTTCAGTGGATTCTGTGGTTTCCACACCCTGGCTTATAGGTGTCATCAAAATAATGTTACTGAAATAACCAACCCTCATTGTATCTAAACAATATGATTTTTTAAAGCATATTTAAATATATTTTATTCCACATGCCACATTGGGTATTCCGAATAATCATTGAGCAGATGGTCATACTTTAAAGTTCTGCCTATCAGACAGTATTAGTTTGGTACAATAAATCTTGACTAAATGCACATTCTTTGGAAAGAAATACTTCACATGTAGCTATTCTAGGTGAGAAAAGTATGTAAATGCCAGCTATCTGCATCGACTATTAATATCTCACAATAATAATATCTCCATGGAAAAGAAAGGCGCTGGAAATGAAAACGATAGCACCTTTCTGCTGCATGAGAATCATGGTGGCCAACAGGAAAGACCACAGGTTTTAGGGTTGGACCACTAGGCAGAAGTTGCATCCCGGTTCTTGTTCTCAAGAGACCAGTGACCTCTGACAAGTTATTTAACTTCTCTGAGCTCAGTTTCCTCATATGTAAATTGGGAATGAGAGTAATAGCCGCCTTACAGGGTTGCCAGGAGGATTAGAAATAGCATGAGCTCAAATCCCTAAGTAGTTGCTCAAGAATATAATAGAATGTAGCAGGAATCATAGCAGTAGTATCAGGCCATTTAATATATTTTGGGGTATGATGAGAGAAGATAAAAATGGATAGTTTTAATAAACAGAGTCTATATCAAAGAACAGTAGCAAGATAGGACTTGGCAAAATCTCTGTAAGCCTGAGAGCAAAGAATTCTGCTATCAACGTTTAGGGGCAACAGCCCTTATAACAGCGGTTCTCAACCTGTGGGTCACGACCCCTTTGGGGGTCGAACGACCCTTTCACAGGGGTCGCCTAAGACCATCGGAAAACACATACATAATTACATATTGTTTTTGTGATTAATCACTATGCTTTAATTATGTTCAATTTGTAACAATGAAATTGAGGGTCACCACAACATGAGGAAGTGTATTAAAGGGTCGCAGCATTAGGAAGGCTGAGAACCACTGCATAAGATTAGATACTAAAAAAGCCATGATGTTAAATATTTACATTTTGGAACCTCCGGAAAGCAGGCCAATATTTTCTCAGCAGGCTCTAGCTGTATGCTTGAAGGAACACCAGGGCTGTTTATACTCCGCACACGTTAGATGCTCTATGGAATGACAGATTGGGGACAGGTCCGAGCAAAAATGCGACAGAGGTAAAGCTAAATGGACTTCTGCAAGTCTCTCTGGGACATAACTTTCTGAAAAGAAAACACAGCCAACTAATTGTGCCTAATCACTGTCCCATCACGTTAGGTCCAGCACTCAGGCAGAGATTCCGCAAAGTGCTCTAAGGACAACAGGGAACCGGGCTGCCAGCATTATGCATTAGGAGGGATCTGTAGGCTGCTCTTTGCTGAAAACATGATAGATGACCTAGGCAGGCATGTCATTTCCTATTTTGTGCTTTCATTTTTCAGACCAAATTGCACTAAACCACAAAACCATCGTGTGCCCCATGATCGATGTCATTGACCACAATCACTTTGGGTATGAGGCACAAGCTGGGGATGCCATGCGAGGCGCCTTCGACTGGGAAATGTACTACAAAAGAATCCCCATCCCTCCAGAGCTCCAGAGGGCAGATCCCAGCGACCCTTTTGAGTGAGTAGCAGCTGAGGGAGGGGCCCAGGGAGAGAGGGCAGGTAATTCATTCCAGGGTGTCAATGGAGGACCCGTGAGAAAAATGACCTCTAAAAAAATGGGATAACACAGATGGAAACAATATGAAAAACACTGGAGAAAGGTCAGACCTACATGCTGTAGAAAAATCAGCATGCTGCGCTAAGTGCACGGATCACTTCTTCCCAACCTTGGCTAAGCATGCGAGGAAGCGTGCAGATGTGAGAATCAAGGAAATGCAGGGTTCACAGAAAATGCATGGAGAGGGAACGCATATTCTCCTTTTACACACTCTCGTAGATGTTTTCTTATGTTCAGGTTTCTCTATTCTTTTCACTTTATTATTTAAATTAACTATTTTGCTCTTCTTTTGGGGAGAAATGATATGAAATATGAACTAGGATTTAAGCCTGTGTTCCACCCTGTTGGGAATTGCCCCGTTATAGGGAAGCAGTGCTTCTGAATAGGTGTTCTCATAACTTATCTCGGGAAAATCAATCAAAACGATGTATCCAGATAAATAATCTTTGATAACCCTGCCACTAATTTAGATTCTATATAGATAAGAATTTATAATAATCTGTTGATTTCTATAAAGCTAAATCCCTGTGTGTTTTTAATGTGGATATGAGAATTATCATGTCAAGAAAAAAGAAAAAAAACAGAGCTTAGTTGGACAAACTATTAGAACCATAAATGCTAAATGATGAACTTTTTCCAAAGTTAGTCCAGGGATTGCCCGAGGCATATGATTATCTATTCCTTATTACTACCGCCTTTTGCTCTCATTAAACTCTTTATAATTTAAAAACTATTACATATTTTTCTTTAGCGTAAGAAAAAAGTGATCAAGGCTTTGCGCACTCTGTCAGAATCTGCTTCAGATGCAATAAAATCACTATTGTCTTTTCATTAATAATCTGGGCTATGAAAGTTTGCAGTAGAGATGCTCCCGGCATCACTAACACTAACACTTTAAATTACAATAAACATCAGGAAAACGTTTTCTCCAATTCCAGTCTCTAGAAAGACAAACTGTTGGGAAAGCAGAAGGGATTTCAGAAGACATTTGCCGGACATAAAGAGATAGAAACCATTTAAAATAATAATAATATGAAGAATACTCATTAAGTATTAAGTATTCAAAATTTCTGAACTTAGGCCTCTTCAGACTCTCAAAGTGCTAGAGAGGTTTTGAGAAGAAATAGGAAGACCCTTTACCACTCTTCCAAATGCTTTGGCCAAGATTTCAAGGATATTCAAAACTGCTAGAGAAGTTCTTCAGCGACCTAAGTGAAGGGGTTTCTATTAAGCATTTGAAACGGGCCTGGCAGAGAGATACCCTTCAGACTTCCTGGCAGACGGGCTGATGGGGGGATTTAAAGCCAGGTTGTAGGTTGGGAGAAGATACAAAAAAATTCTTAAATACAGTGGAGCTGTTATTAGATGGCAGCTGACAGAATAGCCACAGTCCAGTTGTTACTTTCCGAGGTTGTCATGTTTCAAGGGCTGGAATTCATCCATGATGGCTTTTCAAATACTGTAATAGGACTGGGTTAGAATGCCCCCCTAAGGGGACTTTATTTCCACTTAGAAAGACTTTACTCTGACTGCAGTAGCAGAGTGGAGCTCCTGCTCTCTGCAGAAATAAATGGGTTCCAAATACTATCAAGGGGATCTGAAATTGTAAAAGTATTCTCAATCCCTGCACTGACACTTAAAATGTTTGTCAAGTAGCCATCACAATATCAGGCACCTTGTTTAACCCCAGAGGCTGGCGGAGTTGGTCCCTTTCAGGATTAAATTACCTCTTGTTCCTGTCACCTACTTAGGTCCTCATCGTCCTGTCCAAATTGCATTCCTCTTTGAATCCTACTGCCTTTCTGCTTTAAATCCATTTGATGCCTATGAATGTGGACACTTTAGCCTTTTATAATAAATTTAGCTTCCAGGAGGTGTCCACTTTGATGTTAAAAACTGCATTTGCCTTCCCGATTATAAAAGAATGGTTACCCAAAAGGCCAGGAGCAGCGTATCAGCAATTCCATTATCAGCAGTCACCTGAGTGTGCTCATCAACAGACATGCTTTAGGCTAAAACTTGCTTCTTGGATATAAAGCTTTAAGATCCACAGAAGGAATGCAGTCTATCTGTGTATCACTCTCACAGTATTTAATGTTTCAAGAGGCTGCTTCATGGGTGTAGGTGGGAGGAGGGGGAGAGGAGGCAGAAAAGATAGGAAGAAAGGAACTCAAGAGTAATATATAAAAGGGTTGCAAACCCAGGACTTTTCAACCATATATGTGCAAGCATTACCTTTCTGTAGCAAGTTGGTCAAATGTCCTAAGTGACAAGACTTGAATTCTCTCATTTATCCTGCCATTATTTGAGTTTTTCAGTGACTATCTCTATTGACCACAATAGTGTTTTTCAACCCGCAATGCTTGTGAAAATAGTGGGGCATGAACACTATTTAATTGTTGAAAGTTTCAGAATATTATACTAATATGTATGTATCAGTATCACTTCTCAAATATTTGATTTCATTTATAATGTATATATGCTCCTGGGTCATGATATAAACTGTACTTCGCAATATGGTTCATTAACAGAGTTTAAAATCTACTAACTTCCTAACTAGGAATCAAGGTTATTCTAATTAGGAAGAAAAAGGAAAGGTCACAGATAACCTTGGGCACTACGGAAAAATTACTTATATTTGCAAAGAGCTCTAGTTTTCAGACAAACTGCTCCTAGAATATGAGAGAAAATGCAATATTCATAGTTCAAGCTCTTATATGGCAGACACAATTCTGATTGGATTGGATACATTTGATAAATGTTCTTGTCTTTAAAAAATATATTCTCCTTTTTTGGTGGCTTATCTCATGATGTAATGCTTTTAGGAAATGCTTGTTATGGTTATTCGTGGTTTTCAGAAGGTTTCCTTATTCCTGGTTTATCTCTCGTGCAGGGCACTTAGGAACGTAAGCCCTTTCCATGTGGCAAAACACATTATGCTCCTTTAGTTGTAGTGACAAAGGGAAAGATGTTCATTTGCATTCTAACCACTAACTTCAACATTATCTCAGCATCAAAAGTTTAGAAAGGACCAGAAGAAATGACTTTGTCCAACTTCCCTTTAGCACAAGCAACCACTAAACAATGTCTAAGACAGATGACCAACATTTGCTTGAACTCTTCAGGGACATAATATTTTTGCTGCCTCAAAAGACAATCCATTCTATTAGACTAAATGACCGAAAATTGTTGCCTCCTTGATTGCAGACTGTCTAATTCCTGTTCAATGATAGAGCTGTTAAAATTTAAAAACAGCCTATTCCTCCCAAAAGGGAAAGAAGAGGAACTTTTTCCAGTTCTATCCCCAGAACCCTATGAAAGTGCATGTTCATTGATGTAACTGTTCGATATATGTAAATTCACTTGACTACTGTAGTCACATCCATGTTTCCCCAACTTGTTCATAAAGACAGTGTGAAATAGTCCATCCAATATATCCGATACTCAGGCCCTAATACATGAGTCTGTCAACCATAAAAATACAGCTAATTTCTAGGGAATTGCACTAGAGATCATGCTTCCTTTGCTAAGTACTCACAATCAGTTCAGCTGTCCACTTAACTTTGCAGTTTCACTGTATTTTTCAGAACCCACCCCTGTCCTGTCTTTGAATTGTAGAAAAATTACTTTTACTCTTTCAAGCTTCCTTGGACAAATCTCCACAATTCCTCAAAGACTTCTCAGACTTAGAGTTTTGATCATCGTGGATAGAATTCATACACACAATCATTAGTGAGGACTGACATACTCTATTTTTCACTTCTGTGTAACACCAATTTCCAAAATTTTAAAAATAAGGATATCTATGCTTGGGAGGTGGACTTCACAGGCCACAAATGTCCAGAAATCCCAGGGTCTACAGACACATCCGTTTGAATTCAGTAACTCCTCATTGTGGCCAGTTACCTAGTCCAGAAATATCCTAGGACATGGGTAACAATGTCCATGACCTGTCGTGAGGCACCTGAAGGTTCGCAGTTCAAAAACCCAAGGTCCCCTGAGGTCTAAGGACCAAATATAGAGTCCCTGTGGCCTGATTCCGCAATCCAGGAGTATGAAGCACAACTCACGCTAGTATGGATAACATTCAACCTCTGTTACAGAGGAGTGTGTCACTGTTTCATGGAAGTGGGATGCCTTCAAAAGATTTACTGACAGTATCTCCCTTTGTTCTTTCAAGGGACAGAGAGCAGAGAGATTCCTGGGAACTTTCTGACTCTCTTTTCTATACAGCAGTATGGCCAACACCATGAGAAAGTCAGTGTCTCTTGGATAACAAATACAATATGCTAAATTTAAGGTTAGAATGGAATTTAATCAGAAAAAAAAGTGCAAATAATCGTAAGTTTATCAAGCTATAAACTATAGAGACAATTCAAATTTATACTACAGAGCCTAAGTAACTTATCCAGTGTCCCAATTAATATATTTACCAGTTCCTACTAGAATCTGGGGTTGCTCTCTCACCTTCTGGTGCTGCATTCTTTTTTCTACAACATGGGGGGCGGGCGGGGGTGATTAAGAGTTGTTATATTTCTACTACTATGAGTCATGGGGCTAGGAAATGTGCTTATATTGCTGACTCATTTAATCTTTGTCTCAAGTCTATGAAATAAATGATAATGTCTGAATTTTTACAAATGAGGTAATTTAGCTCAAAAAGGTTAGGCAATTTTCAAAGTTTATACAGGAAATCTGAAGAAAAACCCAGGCCTAAGGATTCCCACTGTTCCGTGGAAATTGCCACCTCTCTTTTTACTCAGAGAAGATACATTCTCTAAGCTTAAGGAATAACCATGTTCAAATAGAAAAAAAATTTAGAGAATACAATAGCTTTTTCCCCAAAGCAGCAACACATACCTGGTAAATGAGTATCGCAAAGCTAGAAGCATCACTGGCCT